TGGGGGGGGGCGCCCCCCCCGCCTCCCCTGCCTGACACCTGCCGGGTCCCCGGGGGGCGGCGGGAAGCCGCGGGGCGGACCTCGGCCTTAAGGAAGGGGGTGAGGAGGGCGAGAGGCGTCCTCCCGGGCGCCTGACCCGGCCCCTGGTTTTCTCCAGTGAAAAAAAGAGCCCGCCGGTTCTGCCGTTTTATAGTTGTGACAGCAAATCCTATGTTTGACTCAATGCGTGGCTGCCCCGCACAGCCAGGGCTCAGGGCAGCCGGAGAGGAGAGTAACCTGCACAGCAGGAGAGTGGATCAGTTTCGTGGGAATGACTTCAGCCAATGATATTCTGATAGACCTTTTTTATTTTTTAAGAGGAAAAGGATGCGTGTTTTTTTTTTTTTTTCTTTTTCATTATTAGGATTTTTTAGCAGGAAGAAGTCAGCGTTCCTCCACCTGCCTCTTTGGCTTGATGCGAGAGGTACTTGCTTTTGAGAAAAGGCAGCTTTTTCCCCGTATAATTTTGCTCTGTTGCACTTGGTAAATGACTGACTTGCAATTCCAGTTCCAGGTGAAGTAAAGAAAAAACTTCTTTACAAGCGGAGTGCCCAGGGTTTTCCCCCCAGAGGTGGTACGGCCCACCCTGGCAATCTTCAAAAAGCATCTTGACACCACCATCTTGCTGAGGTCACTTGACCCCAGCAGTCTTTCCTGCTTAGGTGCAGGGGAGCTGGACCTGATGATCGGTAAGGCCCCTTCCAGCCCCTAACAACCATGGAACTATGAGTCTGAAATTGTTGGGGGTGGTCCTGCTGTGAGCAGGGGGTTGGGCTTGACCTCCTGAGGTCCCTTCCATCCCTCATTTTGTATGATTCCTGCTAGCCTGCGGCTGTGGCTCCTCAGTGTAAGAGCAAAGCAAAAAGAAACTGAACACCATTGGGATGAGTTAAAAACAGGCTGTGAAATAGGAGCTTTGTGCCCAGGAGCAGCAAACAGGCAGCAGAACTAGCAGAAGAAAGGAGAGCTTGAGAGGTGGGATGCCAAGATCCTTGAAAAGGAGAGGATTGCAAACACCTGCAGAGTGAAGAGTATAGAAGGGATCAGGTAGATGATAATGAGCCACAAAGTCAAATGACTCCCGGGGCACTGCCCGACTAGAAATGCCATTGCCTCTGCCAGGCAGTTTGGTTTTAAACTTTGGGTGGAGCAGTAATTAAAAGCGGGGTGCAAGTGCACACAGTTGCCTGTGTATGATTGTCGGTAGGATCCTGCACATCCGGCTGTGGAGCGGCCCCAGCCCTGCTGTGGTTCAATGATCTAGCACACAGGGCTACGTCCTCCAGCCTAGAGGGTTTGGGCATCAAGTAGCAGGAGGAGCAGCAATTAATACTGCTACTACTACTCCCGCTGCCAAATTTCCAACCCCATGAAGAAACTCTTAGAGAAGCTGTCACGGTTCCATGGAGGAGATCTGGTCCGTGGGCCAGAGGTCAAACACCCCTGTTTTAAAGTTGAGACAACTGCATGCGTCAGTCTCCTATCAATGAAGAGGCAGAGAGAGGAAAAATCCTTTAAATGGGGAAAGCCTTGCCAAGGGTTGGGCTTCAAATTTTAAAAGATTCTTGCTAGGCAGAGGCTGGCATGGAAAATGGACACCCCACCAAGCATCCTGTGGGAGCATCACCTTGAATAGGGCACAGCACAGCAACATTTTTATCAGTGAGGGAAATAGGCTCTAGTATTTGTGAGTGACTCATCTTTGGCACTAATGTAATCCGCTGACATGTAAGCAGGATATTTTTCCAAGACCCAGTTTTATATGTACTATCCTTGTTCTTCAGGCTCTTAGTCAAGAGGAGTTGACTTCTCCCTGCTCCGTACACTCATTTTCAGTAGTTTTAATGTGCATCTTCCCTTCCCCATTACCCATTCTAAGGAAGTATTCAGGGTTAAGTGTATAGTATATGGCTGCATGAATGAACATTAATATAGTATCCTGCAAATTAAATGCATGCTTCCACAGTCCTATTTCAATACGTTATGTTGCAGTATGCTGCTTTCCAATAGCCAGAGATGTTTGTTCACCCTTTACCATTTTCTGTTATATGTATAGAATGGGTGAGTAGTCTCTTGCGATTAAACCCAGTAACGCAACTTTGGATTTGCCTAAATACAGGTTTTTAGAACACATGGCTTTAGCTATATCAGTTTCTAAACAGATACAGTTAAAAGAGTACAAAAACTCCACAGAGCAATCATTAGTTTGTGTTTGTTCCATACTTTTAGCATGTAACAGTTCTTGTAGTCCGGCATTTATGAACACAAAGATGTTCCTTCTTCAAAAAGTAACCACTTATGCTGTTCTTCTTAGTTTATAAATTATTTTGTCAGGTATTCTGCTTTGAAAAATGGTCTCTCTGGCCTTGTATGGATATAGGGTTATTGAGTTCTGTTGATACATTTAATAATTGAGGCATGTTTCTTGAAGATTACTAATTTCCTTCTTTTAAAGACTATATATTTAGAATCTTTTTACATTTTGCAGCTGATGTAGTGAATAGAGGTACACCGATACATTGGTCCATATTGTATCGGCACCAATAAAAGGAAAATTGACATTATCGGCAATCGGCTTTTCTTGGCTGATGAGACCAATAATGTCACCAATAAATGCTGCGTACATGCACACAGCCATAGTGTACATGCGGCCAGAAGTACGGCCTGGCAGCTTGGAGAGCAGCATCTGCCAGTAAGTCTATGGGGGGAAAGGGGTTGTGGGGAGCAGATGGAGGCTCCTGTGGTGAGGGAGGGAGTGGTGTTAGGGCAGGCACTGTACAGCCGGGGTGGGGCATGGGACAGAGCCACGGCTCATCCAGGGGGAAGGAGGAGGGGGCCACTCCCACCACTGCACACCCCCCCGGGGGAGAGGTATGTGCTCCCTGGCTCTGTGTGTGGAATGAGGGTGGGCCGCCGCTGCACACTCAGAGACAGGGCTGCACTGGCTTCTTCCCAGTGCGGGGGCTGGGCCCAGGCTGTGTGCAGGGCAGGTGGTGGTGGTGCTGGGAAGGGGGCATTACAGAGGGGGCTGCTGCCATCCCAAAATTTGCTGTAGGCCCCCCCCCCCCCCCCCCC